AATTATTACGTATTCTCTATTGAATTCTTTTATAGGATTCTTTATTAAAATTTCCCACCACATCATCACAAAAATCATGGGGTCACAAACAGCGATAATATAAATATATTTTTTTTATAGAATTAAATTACAAGAGAAATTAAAGGTGAAAGTTTCTAAAGGGAATTGTAGAGAAATAAAGTCTATTTTGAGATCTAAAAATTTATTATTACAATATATTAGATGCACTATATTTGTAATCAAGTGATAACGAAATGCACAAAAATAACTAACATTCACGTATAATAAATTTTTTTTGCACAGCGAATTTTTAAAAATTTGATCGAAGATATCCCGACAACTACCCTAACTAAAGTTAATTATTATTATTATTATTATTATTTTATTTAAATTTTATAGATTTCAAGTTTTCAAATATTCATCGAATTTGGTTAGGTGGTTGTTGAGATACTTTCGATCAAAGTCATGAAAATTTTTAACAGCTGATTATTTTTGATAGACGTTTGAAATATTATTAAAACTTTGATCAAAGATATCTCGACAATCACCTAACTAAATTAATGTTTTATTTTTTAGAAATAAAAAAAATTTCATTGAATTTAGATAGGTGGTTGTCAAGATATCTTTGATCAAAGTATTAAAATTTTTTTATTAGAATTTTTGAATACATAGGATCGAAAATAAAATAAAAAATTCATTGAATTTAGTTAGGTAAATGTCATGATATCTTTGATCAAAGTTTTAAAAAATTTTAAACGTCGATCAAAAAAAATATAAGCTAAGAAAAAATTTTCATGACTTTGATCGAAAGTATCTAGCAACCACCTAATCAAATTCGATGAAAAATTTTTTTATTTGAAATCTTTGAATCCATAGAATCTAAATAAAATAAAAAAAAGTCATTAATTTATATAGAGTTATCTTTGATCAAAGTTTTTAAAAAATTTCAAACGTTTATCAATTAGCCGAAAAAACTTTCAAAGTTTTCTCAATAACCACCTAACCAAAGTCGATGAAAAATTTTTTATTTGAAAACTTGAAATCCATCTAAATAAACAATATATATATATATGAATCAATATATATATATATATATGAATAAATGTATATATCGCCTATAGTAAATCATAATCCATGTGTAACGTAAAATTAGAACAAAACGTTTTACTTCGATTTAGTTAGGTTAGGCAGGTTCGATTTCGAATTAGTGCAGGCGCAGTTTATATCAAAATTTTGCAAGGAATTTTTTTAATTAGAACACGAAATGCTGTTTCCTAAGTAAAATTTTGAGCTATTGAAGATTTCATTAAAAAAAGTGGGTTTTCGCTATTTTTTACGTTACACCTGATCTTGAAATTTGATTGGTGGGCGACAAATAAGAGTATCGCATGGTGCAAAATTAGCCAATTAAAATAAAGCGCGATAAATAAGAGAATCGCACCCATGCTAGATCTAGATTAATCCTATAAAAAATATCAATTTTATAAATATCAAATTTTTTATTATTGTTATATCTAATAGCTTCTTCAAATATTTTCTATAGATTTTGAGTATTATCTATATTTTTAATATTTTGATATTGTAAAGATACAAGTTGTAAGACCTTTTGCTTAGTTAGCAAATTTTTTTCTATAGCAGAGTATCATATACAAGTTGTTAATCTTTTTAATTAAAATTCAAATCAATTTAAAAATCATAATAGAGATTTAATTTTTTATTAATATTATTTGTTATAAATATTATAGATAGGTATAGTAATCTAAAAATAATAATATATATAGTATATATATAATAATATAAAAATATTATATAGTAATAATAAAAAATGATTTTTGAATTAAATTTTAAAATTTATATAATACTCAAAATTTTACTAAGTTAATAGTATTTGTATATTAAGAAAATATTATTTAGAAGGTTTATAGAAGTTTAAAATATTAATATCTTATTAATTAGATATTTAAGTACTGAGATATTAGTTTTATAGCCTTGTATTATATAATCAAAAAAGAAAAAAAAGATTTGTAAAAAATTTGTAGAAGTTATCTAAAATTGTATTATAACTTTAAATATTAGATTTCAAAAGAATTTTTATTAAGATATAGCTTAGTATAAAAGATATAATAAATATTTAAAATTATATTGTTTAATTTTCAAGTTATATATATTATATATCAGATTAAAACTTGGTATCAGATTAAAACCAATATATATCAAATTAAAAAAACTATTATGCTAGCATTAAATAATCTGTAATAATCAGCTATACTAAATTCTAGTTCTCATTTTAACTCTAATTTAGACTAGTTTTAATCTGATATAAGTTTTAATCTAATATAAAATATATATAAAAAACTAAGCTTATAATAATTAAAATTAATATATATAATAGACTTTAGTATTCTTTATATCTATAAGAGCTAAAAATATAATAAGTAATTTAGAAGATTCAAAACTTAATATATATTTACTAATATTATTTAAATTATATAATATATACAAATTATCAAATCTAAATATATTTATTTACTCAAACAAAATACTATATTAAAATAACTTATATATATTACAATTTATTTTTTCTATAATATAATTTATTATAACTTAAATAAAATAAATTATTTAGCTTTCTTTTAATATACTTATTTATTATTTCTTTTTATAACTATTTTTATTTTATTATATTTATTTTTATTTAAAGAAACCTATGTTAAAAACTATTTAATTCTCAAATTAAACTAATTTATTAACATTTATTATTTTTTATCTGAACAAATAAATATCAAACTCTACAAATCAATATAGAACTTTTTATACAAATTTATCAATTAACTACTTCATAAAATATTTAAATACAAACTAACTATTTATTCTTTTTTTATATAATTAAACTAATAATAATAATAATAATAATATTTTTTTAAATATAAATATTATATTTATAAAAAATGAATATTATTTTTTATAATAAAGCTTATTATTTATTTGTTATACTGTATTCTAAGTTTAAGAGTAACTAAATATTTTCTTATTAGTTAGCTTTTATAAATAAATAAATAATAAAGATATAGAATTTCTTATTATTTATTCTAATTTTTTTAATTACTGATTTTATATTATCTAATAATAATAACAAATCTTTTAGGTTAAAACAAAGCTATAATATAATAATAAAAAATAAATTCTTAATAAGTATACTAATTAATTATAAATTATAAATTTTTTTTATATTATATTAATTATAAATTAATTTAAATTTAAAAATAATATTGCAATTAATATTAGTTAAAATTTATAAAACTATAATATTGTAATTAGTAGATAAAGTTTTTACTATTAAAAAAATTATTTAATAAGTATAATAAAACTATTTAGTAAGGTTTAATAATCTTAGTATAGTTTTTAGATTACTAGACTACTATTAATAAATCTAAAATTCAAATTCTACTATTAACAAATTTGAATAATTTCTTAAACTTTGTAATATGTTATAGTAAATTCTGTTTGTTATTAGAATATATTTATATAAATTAAGTTATACTAAATTAATTTAAAATTAGAAATATACTATAATATTATATAAATAAATCTTAATAGGATATATGAGCAAAGAATCTATATAATAGAAATTTTAAGATAGTAAATAATATAGCTTTCTTATAAAACTATATTAGTTAAAGTTAGATTTTAAAAAAACTTAATCTAATAAAGGTAAAAGGTTTTAAAGTTATTAGACAGAAAGATAAGATAACTAATTGAATACTAAAAAAGAATTAAATCAACTGACTAGTAGAAAACTACTGTATATTAAAACTTGAGATTATATAAATATTACAAATATCTAAACTAAATAGATCTGTAAAATAAACAAAACTATTTTAGTAAAAATTATTTCTGAAATTAACTAGAACTCTGTATACTTATAATATATTAATCAATATATATCCTAAAAGAATCTAAGTTATATAATAAATAGATCTATGAGCAAGTCAACTTGTTTAAGTAGCAGATATAATAGTAATATTAGTTTGATATAAGAAATAAATTAATAATCAGAGTGTTTAAATAGGTAATTCATAAACAGGTTACAGGTATAGCAATATAGTATAAAACCAAACAGATAATTTAATATCTATGTAACAGACTACTTAAATTAAACAATAACTAAAGTTGTATATATAACTTGTTGTATACTTATCATGTAATTACAAACCTTAAGAGATTACTATATGCGTGACTCTGTAATAGAAAATTAAAAATCCAATCAGCCAAGGAAGCAGCCTTATAATAAAATAAAAACTATTTAATGAACTTAATAATAATTTATCAATATTATTTTTGATTCTTACAAAATAAAAAAAATTAACTGATAAATTGTGAATAAAATCAAAACAGTATTAAAGGATTTAGATGGGCTTGAAGTTTTTTATTTGTGAATATTAAACGTAAAGAAAGTATTAAAGAGATTTATAGAATTTAAAATAAATTTAGATAAACTGTATTGAAAATCGACTTAAGTCGGTAATAGTACAAATGAAATAAAAACTTTGAACAAAAAAATAAAATTTATAAACTAAATTAAGGTTAAAGACGGTATAAAGAGATCAACTAGAACTTTGTTCAGTTATCCGTTTTCATATTAGATTTAACGGATATCCGACAGATTTTACTATTAAATTCATTATTCAACGGATAACAGATCAAAGCTCTAAGATCAACCATTCTATTTAAAAAAAAAAAAAAAAAAAAAAGGTTAAGTACCAGATCAAAAGAAGTTAGAATATTGAGACAAAATCGTTGAATTGCCGTAAAAATACTTTTTACAATTAATGAAAAATCGAAGATATTTATGTTATTTTGGTTTCAAAAACTTCTTGTAAGTCGCAATACTTTATAAAGTAGTCCAAATATTAATCTATTTATCCTAAAAGTCGCTTTTCTGAATTTAAATCTGTTAATTCTTAAATTTAGATACAACCGATTTTTAGATGATAGAGATTTTATGTTAAATGTCCGGAATTAAGTATTTCAAATTTAATAGGAACGGAACCTACAGTACATTTCATGGAAATATTAACAAATACAGTATTAAGTAATATAGGAATTTTAAATTATGCATATAATTACCTTCGTATTTAATGTTAGATTGGTCGCTTTTTTCTTTATATTGTTTAGAAATATTATATGTACTAATAAAATTACTCGCGTACGCAATATCAGGATATTCTTGTAAATCTCTTGAAAGCTCGTAAATTCTATTATCAGCTGCCTTAAATTCTCCAAATATTTTTAACTTTTCATCAGATTCATTAGATTTATTAAACTCATTAGCAAGTTTATTAGATTCATCAAATTCATCAGATTCATCAAATTCATCAATTTCGTCAGACTCGTCTGGTTGGTATATAACATTATACCATTCCGATAGCTTATCATAAATCACTTCAGCAGTAGGTCGTTTATGTAAATCTGAATGCATGCATAATTTTGCCAAT